TATACACACACACATATACACACACATATACACAGACTGGGCTACAGCAATGCATGGCAGGGGACGGCTAGTATACACACACATATACACAGACTGGGCCACAGCAATGGATGACAGGGGACAGCTAGTGTGTGTGTATACACACACACATATACATACACACACACATATACACCCCAGTGGCATATGTGTTAAACCCTTGTGCCGGCAGGCCAAAAGGTTGTAGATTCAAATCCGGAGAGAGCGCGGATGAGCTCCCTCTGTCAGCTCCAGCTCCCCATGTGGGGAAATGAGAGAATGGATGGTAAAACATCAAAGCATCTGAGCATCCCCTGGGCAACATTCTTGCAGTCAGCCAATTCTCTCACACCAGAAGCAACTTGCAGATTCTCAAGTTGCTCCTGTGTTCTTTTCCCTGGAATGTTTTGTATGCTAGCTTAAGTACCCAAAGCCAGCCTGGGTTGGAATAAGCGCCCGACCATTTGTCTAGCTTGCTGTTGACCTTTGCAGCCCGAAAGACAGTTGCATCTGTCAAGTAGGAAATTTAGGCTAATTTAACTAATTTACGTCACCATAAAAATCTCCAGCGGCATGCGAAAGAATGAGGAAGTACTCCATCGGTGTATACCAAACACAGCTACAAATAGAGATCATACAATGCAAATCACAACTCAGGATTGAAAACTATACTGCTGTTGGTGGTATCACCTCAGTTTACGTAAGCCGCCCAGAAACGGGAGGCGAAATGCGATTTGCTTGGGATTAGAAGGAGTCGCCTGAAGCCACTCACTCCTTGCTTCTATAAATGGGGCCGAGATGCCCGTCTTGGTGTCAGATTAGTGGCCTGGTTCTGAAGACGACGAGCAAAGATGGTGCTTTGAGATCCTGATGTGACGCTATGATTTTTTGTCTCTGGGTTGTCAATGTCATTTCCTAATTGGTTCTATCATAAACACATGGGAGAAGTTTATTAAACTGCTATATCTATATAAATAAAAATGTAATGTTCGTTTGTGGGATTAACATAACTCAAGAACTAGTGGACGAATTGACATAAAATTTTAACACAATACACCTAACAGTCCAACTAGTGTTCATCAACCCTAAAAATACAACCCCCCCCCAAGCAGAACAGACTTACAGAACCCAAATATGCATCATGTGTGTATACATACACACACACACTCATATACATAAACACATGCACACATTCATACACATACATATATATATGTATATATACTCAAGCACACACAAATATACACACATACATCTGCATACACACACATATACACAATATACATATACACATATGAACACACAAATATATACACACATCTACATCTACGCACACACATACCGAAGCACACGCAAATATACGCACACATACATCTTCATATACACACATATACACAATATACATATACATATATAAACATACAAATATATACACACATATATACACATCTACATTTACACACGCATACCGAAGCACACACAAATATACGCACACATACATCTTCATACATACACATATACACCTTATACATATACACATATAAACACACAAATGTATTCACACATATATACACATCTACACACACACATATGCACACGCACGCACACATATATATGCAAACACATTTATACATATATACAGAATGGGCCACAGCAACGTGTGGCAGGGGACAGCTTGTGTGTGTGTGTGTGTGTGTATACGCACACACACACTCATATACATAAACACATGCACACATTTATACACATACATATATATATATATACACACACACAAGCACACACAAATATATGCACACATCTGCATACACACACATATACACAATATACATATACACATATAAACACACAAATATATACACACAAATATACACATCTACACACATGCACACACATATATATGCAAACACACATATATACACAGATACACAAATATACAAACACATATATATACACACACAAATACATATATACAGTCTGGGCCACAGCAACACATGGCAGGGGACAGCTAGTGTGTGTGTGTGTGTGCATTATATATATATATATATATATATATATATATATATATGTTTGTGTGTGTATGTATATGTGTGTATATATAATACACACACACACATACACACACACACGCTCCCCTGAGGCAGGCCGTTCTTCTGTTTCCGCCATCTGCTTCTCTGGCCCTGGAACTCAACAAAAAAGCTCTTGTTTGGTAGCATGTTTCCTATGAGGCGGGTGAGGTGGTAATCCTTTGTGATATTATGCATTTTACTCAGGAGGAGGTGGTGGCTTACAACAATATAATAGTAATAGTAATAATAAAAACAACTTTATTTTTAACTTTATATATACATATAGATATAGATATTTGCAGGAAGGACATCCTGCAGGACAGTTTGCTATTAATTTACCAATCAGGTTGATTGATTTTCCATTTTGCAAAATCAAGAGGAAAGGTGCATCTACACCAGTGTTTCCCAACCTTCCTAACGCCGCAACCCCTTACTACAGCTCCTCATGCTGTGGGGACCCCCACCATAACATTATTTTCGTTGCTATTTCACACCTTTAATTTTGCTCCTGTTATGAATCATCATGTAAATATCCAATATGCAGGATGTATTTTCATTCACTGGACCAAATTTGGCACAAAGACCCGATACGCCCAAATTTGAATACTGGTGGGGTTTGGGGAGGATTGATTCTGTCATTTGGGAGTTGTAGTTGCTGGGATTTATAGTTCACCTACAATCAAAGAGCATTCTGAACTCCACCAATAATGAAACAGGCTCAGTGATTTATTTATTTATCGTGTCATGAGCAACCAGACATTTGTATTACATTTTTAACAAAACAAACAAACAGACAAAACACAGAATTTGCAAGCTTGGTAGTTGATTAAATGTCCTTTGACCAGTATCTGGCCACTTGGAGTGCCTCTGGTGTTGCCACAAGGAGGTCCTCCATTGTGCATGTGGCAGGGCTCAGGTTGCATTGCAGCAGGTGGTCAGTGGTTTGCTCTTCTCCACACTCACATGTCGTGGACTCCACTTTGTGCCCCATTTCTTAAGGTTGGCTCTGCATCTCGTGGTGCCAGAGTGCAGTCTGTTCAGTGCCTTCCAAGTTGCCCAGTCTTCTGTGTGCCCAGGGGGGAGTCTCTCATTTGGTATCAGCCATGGATTGAGGTTCTGGGTTTGAGCCTGCCACTTTTGGACTCTCGCTTGCTGAGGTGTTCCAGCGAGTGTCTCTGTAGATCTTAGAAAACTATTTCTAGGTTTAAGTCGTTGACGTGCTGGCTGATACCCAAACAGGGGATGGGCTGGAGATGTCTCTGCCTTGGTCCTTTCACTATTGTCTGCTACTTCCCGGCGGATGTCAGGTGGTGCAATACTGGCTAGACAGTAATTTCTCCAGTGGTGTAGGGCGCAGACACCCCGTGATAATGCGGCATGTCTCATTAAGAGCCACATCCACTGTTTTAGCGTGGTGAGATGTGTTCCACACTGGGCATGCATACTCAGCAGCAGAGTAGCATAGTGCAAGGGCAGATGTCTTCACTGTGTCTGGTTGTGATCCCCAGGTTGTGCCAGTCAGCTTTCATATGATGTTGTTTCTAGCACCCACTTTTTGCTTGATGTTCAGGCAGTGCTTCTTGTAGGTCAGAGCACAGTCCAGAGTGACTCCCAGGTATTTGGGTGCGCTGCAATGCTCCAGTGGGATTCCTTCCCAGGTCATCCTCAGAGCTTGGGATGCTTGTCTGTTCTTAAGGTGAAAGGCACATGTCTGTGTTTTAGATGGATTAGGGATCAGATGGTTTTCCCTGTAATAGGCAGTAAGGGCACCTAGAGCTTCGGAGAGCTTCTGTTCTACCATCCCAAAGCTCCCTGCTTGAGCGGTAATGGCATGATCATCAGCATAGATGAAGCTCTCTGTCCCTTCTGGCAGTGGCTGGTCATTTGTGTAGATGTTGAACATGGATGGAGCAAGCACGCTCCTCTGAGGCAGGCCATTCTTCTGTTTCCGCCATCTGCTTCTCTGGCCCTGGAACTCAACAAAAAAGCTCCTGTTTGGTAGCAAGTTTCCTGTGAGGCGAGTGAGGTGGTAGTCCTTTGTGATATTATACATTTTTCTCAGGAGGAGGCGGTGGTTTACTACAATATAATAATAATAGTAATAATAATAATAACAACAACTTTATTGTATTGTCGAAGGCTTTCATGGCCAGAATCACTGGGTTGTTGTAGGTTTTTTCTGGGCTAAATGGCCATGTTCTAGAGGCATTTCTCCTGACGTTTTGCCTGCATCTCTGGCAAGCATCCTCAGAGGTAGTAAGGTCTGTTGGAACTAGGAAAAGGGGTTTATATATCTGTGGAATGACCAGGGTGAGACAAAGGACTCTTGTCTGCTGGAGCTAGGTGTGAATGTTTCAACTGACCACCTTGATTAGCATTTGATTGCCTGGCAGTGCCTGGAGCAATCTTTTGTTGAGAGGTGATTAGATGTCCTTGTTTGTTTCCTCTCTGTTGTTGTGCTGTTCTAATTTTAGAGTTTTTTTAATACTGGTAGCCAGATTTTGTTCCTAATAATAACAACAACAACAACAACAACAACAACAACTTTGTATTGTTGAAGGCTTTATTTTTAACAACTTTATTTTTATACCCTGCCTCCATCTCCTCGAAGGGGGCCAAGCCCAAATCACATAGCACATCAAAGTGCATCAACAGCAATTTAAAATATAATAATAATAATAATAATAATAATAATAATAATAATAATAATAATAATATAATGACAACAACTTAATTTTTATACCCCGCCTCCATCTCCCCGAAGGGACTTGGAGCCTTAGAAACGGCCAAAGTGATGCCAAACTGCATTAATTCTACACTGTAAACATAGCAATGTGAAAATACCACAAGAGGAGAGATTGCACCCATTGAAACTGAACGTTATTTTGCTCTGTTTTCCTTTTTCTGTTACAGAAATCATGGCCGACGTGATAAAGAAGGTAAAGAAGAAGGGAGAATGGAAGGTGAGTGGCTTGAGCAAAATGGAAGGCGGGTTGGTCCACAGTTAACACATGTCTGGATTCATCCCATAGTAATCAGGGGGGTGTATCTGTCTATACTGTATAACTAACTCAGTTTGACGCCACTTCTCTCTCCCAGGTGTTGGTGGTGGATCAGCTCAGCATGCGCATGCTCTCTTCCTGCTGCAAAATGACCGACATCATGACCGAGGGGATCACAAGTGAGTGCAAAGCGTGAAAAAGAAAGAAAAGCTGAAACCCAGCCTTTCTCCGTTTACTCTTTTACGTTATTTCAGGATCCCTTTTGGGAGATGGTGGTGGTGGGGGAGATATAAATAAATTGTTATTATTATTTGATGCATACCAAGATGAGTACACAGCAAACAAGATCGGTATGCTGGCTTTTGTTGTTTTGTTTTGTTATTGTTGTTGTTATTTTTGCTGCTTGCAGAGAGAAAAGGCAGGACATAAATAAGCATAACAATAACAGCAACAACAACAACAACAACAGTATTATTCGGACACAACTGGACTTAATGTCAGGGGATAACTTTTACCTATTATTATTATTATTATTATTTTACAGTTTGGTGTTATGGCTAAGATACTTGACTACATAATATTTCTTGGCCCATCTTGCCATTTTTATTATCCTGCTCATTACCTGTAAAGGTAAAGGTTTTTCCCTGACATTAAGTCTAGTCGTGCAGAACTCTGGTGGTTCGGTGCTCATCTCAATTTCTGAGCCGAAGAGCTGTTGTTCTCCATAGATGCCTCCAAGGTCATGTGGCCAACATGACTGCCGGAGTGGTACCTATTGGTCTACTCACATTGGCATGTTTTCGAACTACTAGGTTGGCAGAAGCTGGGGCTAACAGTGGGAGCTCACCCTGCTCCCCGGACTTGAACCACCGACCTTTCGGTCAGCAAGTTCAGAAGCTCAGTGGTTTAACCTGCTGCGCGACCAGCAGCTCCAGAAGATAACCTGCATTATTATTTATCCCCTGCCACGTGCTGCTGTGGCCCAGTCTATGTGTTTGTGTGTGTATATATTTGTGTATATGTGTATATATGTGGTTTAGTGCATGCATTGTAATGTATTTCTTATTTTTTGGCTTTTTAAATCTCTTCCGCTGTGTTTTTCAGTATTTTAATGACTGATGGTCACTTGTTGGCCTGATAGGTGTATTGTGTCCAGATTTGGTGTCAATTCTCCCAGTGATTTTTGAGTTATGTTAATCCCACGAACGGACATTACATTTTTATTTATATAGATTTACAGCATTTATATTCCACCTTTCTCATCCCGAAAGGGACTCAGGGCAGAGCACAACATATATACGGCCAACATTCAATGCCGAAACATAAACTATAAATATACATAAATAAACACTAAAATCAGTCATGTCCAACCATCTCAGATCAGCCAAACCAAATCTGGACAGCAGGGTAAAGTTTCCCATTGTTGCCTTATTGCACTGCCCCAAAGGCTTGGTCCCATTTTTCCAAAGGGCAGGAGGGAGGAGGCTGATCTCATCTCACCCGGGAGGGAGTTCCATAGCCGAGGGGCCATCACTGAGAAGGCCCTGTCTCTCGTCCCCCCAATCGTGCCTGTGATGGTGGTGGGACTGAGAGCAGGGCCTCCCCAGAAGATCTTAATCTCCGTGGTGGTTCATAAAGGGAGATACATTCGGACAGGTAAACTTGGCTGGAGCTGTTTAGGGCTTTGCAGGCCAAAGCCAGCACTTTGAATTGTGCTCGGTAGCAAACTGGCAACCAGTGGAGCTGACGCAACATGGGAGTTGTGTGCTCACTGTTATTTTTATTTATTTATTTATTTATTTGGGGTTCTTTTACCCCGCCCTTCTCACCCCGAAGGGGACCCAGGGCGGCTTACACAGTAAAGGCACGATTAGATGCCAGCATCACAACAATCATCTCAACTTACAATAAAATTCACAATTACTAACATCTTCATGCATTATTCCAATAAAAATCAATAAAATCAATACAAACCTAGATTCCTCCGTTACATTGTCAGTGTTTGCTGTCTCATAGATCCGTTTTTAATACCATTTCGTCCATCCTGCTGGTCTTGCCTGGTTGCCCAAAGGCCTGGTTGCCCAAAGGCCTGGTCCCATAACCAAGTTTTCACCCTCCTCCTGATGGAGAGGAGGGATGGTGATGCTCTGATTTCCCCGGGGAGTGAGTTCCACAGGTGAGGGGCCACCACTGAGAAAGCCCTGCTCCTCGTCCCCACCAGCCTCACTTGTGAGAGTGGTGGGGTCGAGAGCAGGACCTCCCCAGATGATCTCAAGCTCCGAGGTGGGACGTAGCGGGAGATACGTTCGGACAGATACAGTGGATACAGTGGACCGGAACCGTACAGGGTTTTATAGGTCAAGACCAGCACCTTGAATTGTGCTCGGAACTGAACCGGCAGCCAGTGGAGCTGACACAGCAGGGGGGTGGTATGCTCCCTGTATGTCGCCCCGGTGAGCAATCTGGCTGCCGCTCGCTGGACTAGTTGAAGTTTCCGAACAGTCTTCAAGGGCAACCCCACGTAGAGAGCGTTGCAGTAGTCTATTCGGGATGTAACAAGAGCGTGGACCACCGTGGCCAGATCAGACTTCCCAGAACCCATCAGAACCTGGCTGCCTCTCTTTGGACTATTTGAACCTTCCGAACAGTCTTCAAAGGCAACCCCACATAGAGTGTGTTGCAGTAGTCTATCCTAGATATTTTATCCTAGATATTTTACTTCTGCTGTAACTTGTAGAAGGTTTTGACAAAAAAACAAGAACCGTAGGATTTCCAAAATGTAATGGTATGTGTTTGTTTGTCTCTACTGCGTTTGGATGCACAACATTTCCTTCAAAATGTCCTCTTTCTTCCTCATCTAGTTGTGGAAGACATCAACAAGCGCCGAGAGCCACTGCCCAGCCTGGAGGCTGTGTATCTGATCACTCCTTCCGAGAAGGTGAGCTACTTCCAGGAACTTAGATTTGTAAAGCTCGGGGATGAATGGATGGATCAACTCTCCAAATGAGGACAGTTTCCCCAACCCATGTAGCACACTGAACCACGAAATAGTCAAAATCCTTTTTGGCAAACTTGTAATCCTGACATTTTTTGTGTTATTTACATGTTACATGGTGTTGCCAGAGAAGTTAGAAATAATATCTCATGAATTAGGAGACGTTAGATCAGTTGTTTTGAATCTTTGGTCCTCCTGGAGTTTTGATTCCATCTCCCAGAATTCCTGGTCAATAGTCAAGCTGGCCAAGACTGCTGGGAGTTGGAGTCCCAAACACCTGAAGGACCAAAGGTTGGATGTTATTGCCCCAACTTTATTCTCAATCTTTATCGCTATGATACTTCACCTTGTTGATGGGAAGCTTCCCACCGGAGTGGAAATCATCTATCAGACAGATGGCAAGGTATTTAAACTCAGCAGACTGAAAGCCAAAACCAAGGTTACCACAACATCTGTTATAGAACTCCAGTATGCTGATGACAACGTCGTCTGTGCGCACTCAGAAGAAGACCTACAAACCACTCTAAACACCTTTGCAGAAGCATACGAGAAGCTCGGCCCGTCATTAAACATCGAGAAAACCAAAGTGCTCTTCCAGCAGTCACCAGCCAATCCCTCTCCAGTGCCAGAAATACAACTCAATGGTGTAACATTAGACAATGTTGACCATTTCCGCTCCCTTGACAGCCACCTCTCCACGAAAGTCAACATTGGCACTGAAATTCAACACCGCCTGAGCTCTGCGAGTGCAGCATTTTTCTGAATGAAGCAGAGAGTGTTTGAGGACCAGGACATCCGTAGAGAGACCAAGGTGCTTGTTTACAAAGCTATTGTCCTCCCAACCCTGCTTTACGCCTGCGAGACATCTACAGACGTCACATGCAACTCCTAGAACGATTCCATCAGCGCTACCTCTGGAAAATCCTGCAAATCTCTTGGGAAGACAAGTGGACAAATGTCAGTATGCTGGAAGAAGGAAAGACCACCAGCATTGAAGCAATAATCCTCCACCATCAACTCCGCTGGACTGGCCATGTTGTCTGGATGCCCGACCACCGTCTCCCAAAGCAGTTTCCGAACTCAAAAACGGAAAACGGAATGTTGGTGGGCAGGAAAAGAGATTGAAAGATGGGCTCAAAGTCCTTAAAATTGGCATAAACACTGAGAACTGGGAAGCCCTGGCCCTTGAGCGCTCCAGTTGGAGGTTAGCTGTGACCAGCAGTGCTGTAGAATTTGAAGAGGCGTGAAAGAGAGAAACGTGCCAAGAGGAAGGCGCGTCAAGGCGCGTCAAGCCAACCCCAACTGGGACCGCCTTCCACCTGGAAACTGATGCCCTCACTGCGGGAGAAGATGCAGATCAAGAATAGGGCTCCACAGTCACCTGCGGACCCACCACCAGGACATTACACTTGGAGGACCATCATCTTTGGACTACGAGAGATCACCTAAGTAAGTAAGTATCATTGGTTCCGACGGCTTTAGGAGGCACTTCAGAGCACAAAATGTTTTGACAATTATAGAACGGTGACTTCAGGGCTGGCCAAATGTTTTGACTTTGGTTTCCATAAGATGCCACTCCATGGTCAACGGTAAATAGTGAAGGAAGTCCAGGACCATGTTGGCTGATGATTCTCGTGCCATTGAAGTGATGAATCTATCCCAAGGTTTTTCAAAGCAATGTTTAAAGGAGCTCTCCATGGTGCCGTTGGGGTTTAAGGCAATAGAGAGAGGTCCTTTCGCGCCCAGTTGATACTTGGAGTGGATTTCCAAATGTTGCCGCGTTTGATCCCAACTCTTGATAATAAATAAACCTGAGTTGTGCTGCCGTTACCAACCTCCTTGTCCTTTTTTCTTGATTCTCGTAGTCTGTGGAGTCTCTTATGGCCGACTTCAAGGAGCCCCCCAATGCCAAGTACAGAGCTGCCCATGTATTCTTCACTGACTGTAAGTTTTCTGGGGATTGGGCCCTGCTTTCGTTTTTTATTTCCTGTGCCGAATCGTTGGAGTTGTGTGCGTGTGAGACAGAAAGATGGGTTTCCGAGAGTTGTCCTAACAACACATGAAGGACCAAAGTTTGAGAACTACCAGAGTAGGTCACCTCCGTGATCCATCCACCTGTCTTACTCGCATACATCAGATCCTTTTAGTTTACTCTGTGGATATATATAAGAGACATTGTATGTTCCTTATGACCCAGACTCTAGTTCTCTGAGACTCTGACCATTCACCAATATTGAAGAGCTGAAGTCCAAAACACATGGAATCATAGAATCGTAGAGTTGGAAGAGACCTCATGGGCCATCCAGTCCAACCCCCTGCCAAGAAGCAGGATAATTGCATTCAAAGCACCCCCGACAGATGGCCATCCAGCCTGTTTCAAAGCCTCCAAAGAAGGAGCTTCCACCACACTCCAGGGCAGAGAGTTCCACTGCTGAACAGCTCTCTCTCACAGTCAGGAAGTTCTTCCTAATGTTCAGATGGAATCTCTTTCCTTGTAGTTGTTCCATTGTTCCATTGCGTCCTAGTCTCCAGGGAAGCAGAAAACAAGCTTGCTCCTTCCTCCCTATGACATCCTCTTACATACTTATACATGGCTATCATGTCTCCTCTCAGCCTTCTCTTCTGATAAAATATAAATCCTTATATTGTATTATTATTATTAGTAGTATTATTATCTGATTTTTTAAAAATACCAATGATATTTAATTCTGTTTTAATTTTTGTATATTTTAAGTTGTGTTGAAATGCTTCTTCAGGCTAAAAATGCCCAGCTCTTTAAGCCGCTCCTCATAGGGCTTGTTCTCCAGACCCTTGATCATTTTAGTCGCCCTCCTCTAGACACATTCCAGCTTGTCAACATCTCCCTTCAATTGTGGTGCCCAGAATTGGACACAATATTCCAGGTGTGGTCTAACCAAGACAGAATAGAGAGGTAGCATTACTTCTCTGGATCTAGACACTAGACTCCTATTGAAGAAGGCCAAAATTGGCTTTTTTTTTGTCGCTGCATCAAATTGTTGGCTCATGTTTGACTTGTTGTCCACAAGGACTCAAAGATCTTGTTCACACGTACCACGCGTTCCCCCCATTCTGTATCCTTTTTTCTGCCTAAGTGGAGTATCTTGCATTTGTCCCTGTTGGACTTCATTTTGTTAGCTTTGGCCCATATTGGGGTTTGTACATCAGTTGCTGGATTCTCATATCTCCTTCTCTCTCACGCTAGCCTGTCCTGATTCCTTGTTCAATGAGCTGGTTAAGTCCCGTGCGGCAAAAGTCATCAAGACCCTGACCGAAATCAATATTGCTTTTCTGCCCTATGAGTCGCAGGTAAGTCCAAAAAGAGCATGTTGGCCTTTTCTGTTCGGGTGTCATGGCTCCTTTATTTGTTTATTTATTTACTTATTGTATCAGAAGCAAATGGAGAATACCGCTATAATGTGCAAAAAACCACAAACAAAGTTAAAAACATGCCATTATGCTAACTTTTTGTTGACTGTAAGCTGGCCACTTGCTGTAAGAAGGTCCTCCATTGTGCATGTGGTAGGGTTCGGGCTGCATTGTAGTAAGTGGTCTGTAGTTTGCTCTTCTCCACACTCACATGTTGTGGGCTCCACTTTGTAGCCCCATTTCTTAAGGTGCCAGAGTGCAGTCTGTTCAGTGCCTTCCATGTTGCCCAATCTTCTGTGTGCCATCTGATATCAGCCACTGATTGAGATTCCGGGATTTTAGCCTGCCACTTTTGGACTCTTGCTTGCTGAGGTGTTCCTGTGAGTATCTCTGTAGATCTTAGGAAGCTGTTTCTTGATTTAAGGCATTGGCTTGCTGGCTGATATCCAAACAGAGGATGGACTGGATGTCAATGCCTTGGTCCTTTTATTATTGGCTTCTACTTCTCGGCGGATGTCAGATGGTGCAATACCGGCTAAGCAGTATAATTTCTCCAGCAATGAGGGGTGTAGACATCCTGTGATAAGCAAGATATACATAAAGAATTATTATTATTATTATTATTATTATTATTATTATTATTATTAGAAACACAACAAGATGGGAAGAAAGGCAGGAAAGAAATAAAGATAATAATAATAATAATAATAATAATAATAATAATAATAATAATAATAAATCACACAGTCCTAGACACTTGGGAAGTGTTCGATTTGTGATTTTGTGATACAAAATCCAGCATTTAGATCTCGTTTGCTGTGTCATACTGTGTTTTTGTGTCAGCATAATAATAATAATAATAATAATAATAATAATAATAATAATAATAATAATGACGTTAGATGCCTTGAAACCTTATGGGAAGAAAGACAGGAAAGAAATAAAGAAAATAATAATAATAATAATAATAATAATAATAATAATAATAATAATAATACATCACACAGTCCTAGACACTTGGGAAATGTTCGACTTGTGATTTGGTGATACGAAATCGAGCATATAGATCTCGTTTGCTGTGACATACTATGTTTTTGAGTCAGTAAAATAATAATAATAATAATAATAATAATAATAATAATAATAATAAATAATAAATGTTAGATGCCTTGAAACCTTATGGGAAGAAAGACAGGAAAGAAATAAAGAAAATAATAATAATAATAATAATAATAATAATAATAATAATAAATCACACAGTCCTAGACACTTGGGAAGTGTTCGATTTGTGATTTTGTGATACGAAATCCAGCATATAGATCTTGTTTGCTGTGACATACTGTGTTTTTGTGTCAGTAAAATAATAATAATAATAATAATAATAATAATAATAATAATAATAATAATAATAATAAATCACACAGTCCTAGACACTTGGGAAGCGTTCAGCTTGTGATGTTTTGATATGAAATCCAGCATATAGATCTTGTTTGCTGTGACATACTGTGCTTTTGTGTCAGTAAAATAATAATAATAATAATAATAATAATAATAATAATAATAATGTATTGTCGAAGGCTTTCATGGCTGGAATCAATAGGTTCTTGTGGGTTTTTTTCGGGCTATATGGCCATGTTCTAGAGGCATTTTCTCCTGACGTTTCACCTGCATCTATGGCAAGCATCCTCAGAGGTAGTGAGGTCTGTTGGAACTAGGAAAATGGGTTTATATATCTGTGGAATGACTGGGGTGGGGCTGCTGGAGCTAGGTGTGAATGTTTCAACTGACCACCTTCATTAGCATTTGAAGGCCTGGCTGAGCCTGGGAGAATCTTTTGTTGAGAGGTGTTAAGCTGTGCTTGGTTGTTTCCTCTCTGCTGTTTTGCTGTTGTAATTTTTGATACTGGTAGCCAGATTTTGTTCATTTTCATAATAATAATAATAAAATACATCACACAGTCCTAGATGCTTGTGATTTTTGTGATACAAAATCCAGCATATATTTATTTATTTATTTATTTATTTACAGTTCTTATATTCCGCCCTTCTCACCCTGCAGGGGACTCAGGGCGGATTACAGTAAACACATATATGGCAAACATTCAATGCCAGTTTGACAAACAACATTTAACAGACAAATGCACCAAGGCTATTTAACTTTTTTTTCTGGCCGCCAGGGGAGCTGCTGCTTTTCATCGTCCATCAACGACACCGATGAAGTTCTTCCGCATTCCACATTCCCCGGAGTCTTTTTTTCTTTATGGCCTCATAAATTAGTTAAATTTAGCCTCCCACACAAGGTGGTACCTTATTTTCCTACTTGACAGATGCAACTGTCTTTCGGGTTGCAAAGGTCGACAACGGATCTCGACAATAGATCTCGTTTGCTGTGACATACTGTGTTTTCATGTCAATAATAATAATAGTAATAATATAATTGTACATCGGAAACGGCTTTGTTTCTCTGCACAGGAAAATGCAGTGAAGATTGCGTTATCTCCTAAACACTGTGTTTAATCCTCTAAGCCCTAACTGACGTCGTCGTCCTTTAAGAGCTTCTGTATTTCTTGTTTGTGTATTTTCTTGGAGAGCCTTAGAGGATGCAATCGAATGGTGGACAGATGGTTGTGGCGAAGGGTTGTGTGCTCCGTTTGCCGGCCCCAAGTTGCCTGCAGGAAAAAGGAGAGGATTATAGGGGTTATGTAACAGCTTGCAGTGGAGAGGCAACACGATTAATATAACTATCGCTTTGTGGGAGAGGAAGTTGACTTTTTTCCCCGGCGAGATTTCCTGCCCTCTTGTGCTTATCTTCTTTCATGTGTTTCCTCTGTTGTGGGCTTCGCCCTACTCCTCCTCCTCCTCTCCTTGTCCATCTCTCTGGTGTCCTCCACTGGAAGGTGGAGAAGAAAACCCTGTGGCCGGACCATCTGTTTAAAGAGCCATCCCTTCCTACTTTGGGGTGAGAGGTGGACAGGGAACAGATGGCCAGCCAGCGGTCAGAGATGTACATACAGAACAGCTTGGGGATTTGCTTTGTTTTTGTTTTAAATAGATAACAAACATCCCTTGAATAAAAGCTGTTGTCCTTCAGGGAGTGCTGGCCGAAAGAGAGATTCATTACCTCGGTGAAGCACCTTAGACCAGTGTTTATCAACCTTCCTAATGCCATGACCCCTAATAATAATAATAATAATAATAATAATAATAATAATAATAATAATCTATATAAATAAAAATGTAATGTTCATTTGTGGGATTAACATAACTCAAAAACCACTGGATGAATTGCCACCAAATTTGGCCACAGGACAGCCCCTAACCCAGCGGTTCTCAACCTGGGGGTCGCGACCCCTCGGGGGGTCGTTTGGCCATTTTCTGGGGGTCGCGAAGCCGCATTGGCTGGCCACGCTCCCTCCAAAATGGCGGCCAACCCCCGGAGTCACTGGCACTCCCGCGCGCGAAGCCATCTGCCTGTCCCTCGCTTCCTTCTGATGGCAGAAGGAGGTGA